ATGTCAGAGATGATGAAGATGGCACAGGATAAGCCATGGTTCAGACACGTTGTTCATAGGGTCACTATAAGTTGTACTTGATTCAGCAACATTCAACTGCTAAGGAGATGAGCAAAAACTAATTGAGGTATCCTAATTCCTCTTTATATACCTGCATTTATGTATCCTAATTCATCTTTAAATGCTCCTCTACTCTACCATGCCAGCTTTCTTAGCGCCCTACAGGTTCAATGGCTGTGGCTATTATACCAATCCCCAGTAACAAACAAGACCTGTTCCTACAAAAGTCTTTAAGCTGAGTTTGTGTGGTTCTTATTAGCCTTACTTTAGTACAAGAAAAGGCTCCAAGGCTTTTAAAAGGTTTAAAAGTTCACTTACAGTAAGTGAAGATATTATAACTAATTAGTTGCAAGTATGGGTTATTCCAATTCTTTCACAGTGAGGGCAAATTTATATAACATTAGATGGCAAGCAGGAATAGTCAGAGAGAGAGGTTTATAAGCCAGGGGCTGCTATATGTGAATCTGGAAAAGAGTATTTATATTAAAGATAACTTAAACATTTATACTAATAATGATAGAACATCTATCATTTACTGGGAATTCCACTTCTAGTTTAATCTTTACGACAGCTTTTTTTTTTTTTAACTTAGATACTCTCACTTTATTGGCGAGAAAAATGAGGCAAAGAGTAAGTTTTCCAAGGCCACTTAACTGAGATATGGTGAGCAGAAAGTCCAACCTACTTTTACTTAAATTGAAAACCTACACACTTAATTCTGAAACTATAGGTTGCTGATGTGGGCCATGATTATGTGGTTAATTGGATTTAAAAGTCATTATTTAGTATCCTTAATAGCCCAACTCAGGAAGCAACTCAGATAAGATAACGACTTCTAGAAATACAAGCACTTACAGAGAGCCTTTGTCCCTCTGCTACTTAGGACTAGTGAATGAATGAATGAATGAATGAATGAATAAACAAAAATATCACTGAAACTCTTTTTAATACCAGCTATCAGCTTTGGGCTCAGAAAATTGCTCACTGATAGTGATTGTTAGAATACCTCTTGAAGTCACCTGTTCTCATCAACAGAATAACATGCTTTCTAAGAAATAAAACAATTGAATTCTATTGAAACTGAAGCTTAGTTTTTATTGATTTATTGAGTTCACTGTCAAAATAAGACCATCAGGTGGCCTAGTGGCAATAAGATGCACTGCAGTCCCAGAGGTGCACAGTAAATCCAACAGATGCTCTGCTGGAGAAGGAGGGGCAATCTCCTCCTGTACCAGTCAGATCTTATATGACAGTACACACACACAAAAGAGTAAAATAAAATCAAATTTTAAAAAAGTATAAGACCATCAATACTGTCCTACCTGTCTAGTATTTATTGTCTTCTCCGGATATAATTATTATAAACATAAATCCCCTCTATTCTTAAAGTTGTTGTTGCTGTTATTGTGTACATTTGAGTCAGAACCATCTCACAGCTGACCCTCAAGCAAGTTTTCAGAAGCAGGATATCATACTGAGAATATCGTCCATCTTTCTTTTGTGAAGCAGCTGGTGGATTCAAACCATAAGTTTTTGAGTTGCCAGTGCAAGTCCTTAGACTGGGTCACCAGAGCTTCCTATTCTTATAGTGCTCCACTTAATATAATATTAAGGTTCTATGTATATTTTTCAAAGCCTACTATACTTTATCTTACATTTTTAAGTGTTTGTCTTAAAAAGTATTCCACACATATGTTCTAAAATAAATGGAAAATTAAAGACTTAGATAAAATACAGTACTTCAAAGAAATTTGGCAGGATTTTCAGAGATACCTAGGGCGGAAATCTCCATGGGGTGCTAAAATGTAATATAAAAGATGTAATATAAAATATAAATGTAATATAAAATATAAAAGCAGCTTGCTGGTATATGGTTGGAGGAATATTCTGATAAATAACTCGGGCTGACCGAGTGAGACTCCATGGGGAGAGCTTCAAAAGTAGGTGATGATCTCTAAGCTGCCTTTTGATGTCCACTTCAAGTCATTAGTGGTCTTTGCTATTATTCAAAACTAAATTCATGAGATGGAAGGATTCTGAATTCAACATATAGAAATAATTTTTTCTCAAAATTGTTGGAAGATATTTGCATATCAATATATAGTGGCATCTCTTAACTAGCTTTTAGAAAAATATTGATTCATAAATTGTGCACACAAATATTTGCTTGATTTAAAAGTCAAATGACTAGAATCAAATATTGTTCATTCAGAAACATTTCTACTTTTCCGTCAAAAATGGTGCATCTGGTAAAACACCAAACAAGATTCAGTCAGAGAAGTAAATCTAAACCAATGTCAAGCAGATGGTGACCATGAGCTGATGGTGGACCATAGTAACTCTATGACAGGCTAGCATAGCCCTATCAAGATAACTATACTCTTTAGAGAAATAGGCTTCTACATCTTTCTCCCACGGAACAGCTTGTATGTTCGAACTTCTGACCTTTACATACTTCATCAACTGGCTGCCAGACCATCTTGAAACAGAAGACCCAGTAAGAGATAAATATTTGGAGATTTAATGTGATGAATCAGCTGTGCTATTGTGGAACCAACTCATCAAGTTTGAAATCAATAGGTCAGGTCATCAGGGAGGTTAGTCAGGAACAAATCTTTTTTCTTCAGCAAAGCCTAAGACCCACTCTTAAGGCCTTTTAACTTATTGAATCTGGCTGACCTAGATTAGTTAGAAAAATCATCATTACTTGCAGTCTATTGATTGTGAATGTTAATCTCATCTACAAAATGACATCATAGCAACACTTAGTTTAATATTTGACTGAATAGGTGAAATAACAATATCAAAAACAGCAGCAGCACTCTTCTCAGGCTGTACTCTCATGAAGAGCTGAGTCTGTTTTGTAAAATGAGAAGTTTCTTGATAAGACAGCACATTGTTCTGTAAAGGGTTTTGTGTAGATAGATCTATCAAGTTGTCTTCACTAATAGTACTCTTATTACACTCTTTATCTAACAGTACTTTAACAACAGTACTATTATTACACTATTTATTGAAGCTGACTTCCATGTGACATTAGTAGATTCACTTAAAACATCACCTCCTATTAATAGTAAATTAGAATATCTCTTAATGTCATTTTGGTCATCTTCCTTTGGCAAAGATACCTACAAATATGTAACTTTGTATATAAGCATAATTTTCCAAGAAATTATTTTACCTACTAGTTTTCAACATGTATGCAGAGCAGATTATCCGAGAAGCTGGGCTCTATGAGGAGAATTGTGGCATCAGGATTGGTGGAAGATCTATTAACAATCTGTGTTATGCAGATGACACAACCCTGCTTGCTGAAACTGAGGAGGACCTCATGCACTTGCTGCGAAGGGTCAAGGACTGCAGCCTTCAGTATGGACTGAGGCTCAATGTCAAGAAGACAAAGATTCTCGCCACTGGACCAATTGGCAGCGTCAGGATGGATGACGAAGAGCTTGAGAGTGTTCACAGCTTCACTTTGCTCGGCTCTACAGTCAACACTCTTGGCACCAGCAGTCAGGAAATCAAAAAGTGTATCGCGATGGGAAAGTCTGCCGTTAGGGACCTCTCAAAGGTACTCAGGAGCAACAGTGTCTCTCTGGAGACTAAGGTGCGCCTGATACAGGCCATGGTCTTTGCAATCGCTTGTTATGCATCAGAGAGTTGGACAATGACTAGGGAGGAAAGAAGGAGAGCGGATGCTTTTGAGCTGTGGTGCTGGAGAAGGGTACTGAATGTACCATGGACTGCCAGGAAAACAAACAGATTCATCTTGGAGAGGATTAAACCAAGCTACTCCTTGGAGGCAAGGATTCTGGGGCTTCGTCGGACATACTTTGGACATGTTGCCAGGAGGGACGGGTCCTTGGAGAGGGACATCATGCTTGGAAGGGTGGAGGGACAGCATAGGAGGGGAAGACCCTGTATGAGATGGATTGATTCAGTGACTGGGGTAATCGGGATGGGTGTGTCAGAGGCGGTGCAGTTGGCACAGGATAGAGCAGGGTTTAGGGCTGTTGTGCATAGGGTCGCTATGAGTCGGAAACGACTCGATGGCACTTAACAACAACAACAACTAGTTTTGTCCCAAATATTTGTGCCAAAAATAGTAGGCAAACAGAAAATTATTTTATTTGTTCAATTCCTTGAGGACTATGGATTTATCAATTTAAGCTGAGTTTTCAATACCTCAAAAATAAAATATTATTTGGTCTTTTGAGAAGCACAGAATTTTTATGTTAATGAGCTACTTTGAGATTTAGGTAAGAGAAAAAGTTGTTTATATATATAATTTCATAGTGGTGATCCACAGGACATGTCTTAATCTACCTAACTGTGCCATCTTAAATAAATTGTAAAGTCATCATTAGGTGCAAAATTATATTCCTACATTATCAAAAATAATTTTGTTTCCTTTATGCTCTAGTATAGAAGCTAATACAAAATAAAATATGCTTTATGATGGTTTGAGAGACAAAGCCCTGGTATATTCTGCTCAAGTGCAGTAGATTTGACTTCTTCTTTCTTGGCCCACAGAAAACATAATCACTGACCTTGAATGAATGATGGAGACATAAATTTTCAGATTGACTAGTCTTGATTTATAGGCAGGGCTCTTCTGGACTGTGAGGAAAAATGGTCCTTGCTATTTTTTATTATTTCTTCATCATTCATATTTTATATTCTGCATCCATCCTGGGGCTATTTTTAAGGATTCATATTTTTTGTAAGTGAAGGGGAAAAAAGAATATATGAAAATAATTTGGTTTCTTACTGTAATATCACTGCCCTTTCACCCAAAATATTAATAATTACTATGATACCACAAAACAACATAAAAATATCTACTGTTGTCAAAATTTCACCAAAATTTTTTAAAGTGACTAAAAATGCTCATTTTATAATAACTTTAACTTTCTACTTTCTGGAAAATTCTTTCATAGGATTAGAGAAAGGAAGTCAGTACAGTTTCCAAGTGTCAGCTATGACAGTCAACGGCACTGGACCACCTTCCAACTGGTATACAGCCGAGACCCCCGAGAATGACCTTGATGGTGAGTAAGACCAAGTCCCGGTCACAGTTACTGTCTATGGCCTTTGTTACTTTTTCACCAACAGGCCTTAGAAAGTCTATGAGCCCTAGTATCAGGGCATCTATTGCTCCAAAAAGCATCCTATTGCCTCAATGGACTTTGCAAATATTGCATTATTTTTGCAGACTTAAAGTTTTTGGCATCGTTATGGCAAGTAAGTACATTGACACTATTTTGCCAACATTGTGTGCTCACTTCATGTCTCTCTGCCACATTTTCAATAATTCTCACAATACTTCAAACTTCTGAAAGCCCTATGAACTTTGATAAATGTTGATAGTTATAGAAAGGCTTCAGGCCTTTTGTTCATACAACAACAGAACACACTTAATAGTCTACAATATACTAGAAACAACTTTTATATGGAATGGGAAACAAAAAAGGGGGGAAAGGAAATCATATGACTTGGTATATTGCAATATTCACCTTATTTAGGGTCATCTGGATCCAAACTTATAAAATCTTCAAGATATATCTGTACTGCTTTAAAGGATTAGTATTACAATACTCGATATACTTTACTATGGTTTTTTTAACAATAAAATGTGAAATAAGATATTTTTCCTCAATTATTTTGAATAAGCATCTCAAACATTTTATCTAGAAAACTACTAGAATTTCTGATAAAAATCAGGAAATATAATTGCCTTATATAACTTATTTTGGAGGAGGTTTACTGTTTTTATAAAATATCAATATGTATTTTTTATTTTCTTATGATATGGTTATTAATACTTGACACCAATTTCTTTGAAGTAAAGGGCAATCTAATTTATTGCCTTGACTATTGGTTGACTTGAGACGTTCATGGGTGAGATATTCAGATTAATATGAAAGTCACACATGAATGCATTAAATATAAGCAGCATTTTTAAAATTAGCATAGGAAGAACCTTTCTCAAAATACAAATATTTTGACAAAAAAATGCAAATAAAATATTTGAGAAGAATGAGTAAAGGGCATAGAAGAAAATTATAGAAACAATAAAACATATAGAAGAGTTACAAATGATAGAGGATTAGAGAAATGTAGAAGAGAATTAAGTTCTAGTCCATAAACTTGAACTGTTGTTGTTATTGTTGCTGTGTGCCATCAAGTTGGAACTGACCCAAAGCTGTTGCTCTGGTGGGTTTTCAGAAGCAGTTAATAGCATGGGAGTAGATAGCCCCTCCGCCTCCCGCAGAACAGCTGGCGGTTTAGAACCATGTGCCTTGGAGATCGCAGTACTCTTGCCACTAGGCCACCACTGCTCCCTATCTTAAACTAAGAAGATGAAATTTGTACAAAAAAACCAAACAAACAAACAAAAAACAAAACCCAAAAAGAACAACAACAACAACAAAAAACCCAAACACCAAAAACAAACAACCCAGGCAAATAAAAGATGAGTATTTGTTAATTAAAAATAGAGATAATACTGAGAAATGGTTTTACAAGATGAATTTACTGATAAAGAAAGTTGCTTGTTTCTTAATAGGTCAGGAATTATTCAAATTGCTAGGGAATAGATGTTCTCCACTCATTTCTTCCCCTCCTTCTTTTCAATTCTGTCCTTCAATTCTTTTCAATTCTGGTTTTCATTTAACTCTTATTCTTGTTTTTCTATCATCTTTCCTACCTTACTCTTTTTGGAATATGTCTTTCTCCTCCTCCACCCTCTTTCTCATCTTCATATCTAGAATAGCATAGCCATTTATTATGTTAGCAGTCATAGATCCTGTTTTCCTAAAATAATGATGCTGTCCATGAAATGATCAACAAACATTATTGCCATAATAATTATCATCACTTCCAAGCAACTGTACACTAATTCTGACACTTCCTAAAGCCCCCATACATCAGACACTATATGCTCAAAGTGAGGAGGACTTGAAACACTTGCTGTAGAAGATCAAAGACTACAGCCTTCAAGATGACCGCATGGCCTTTAAAGTGCAGCAAAGACAGATATTACAGCTGAAAGTCTGGGCAAGTCTAATTGCTGTAGAAAAACCTTGTACAATATTATGAAAACCGTGAAGTCCAGCATATGATTTATATAAATACAGATAGGTAAGTTTATAGGAAAATAAAACATAGATGTTGTTGTTGTTGTTGTTATGTGCCGTCAAGTTGCCTGTGACTCATAGCGACCCTATGTACAACAGCCCTAAACCTTACTCTATCCCTTGCCAATCTTACTGTCTCTGACACACTTACCCTCATTACCCTAGTCACTGAAATCAATCCATCTCATTGAGGGTCTTTCTCTCCTGCTCTGTCCCTCCACCCTCCCAAGTATGACGTCCCTCTCCAAGGACTGATTCCTCCTTGCAACATGTCCAAAGTATGTCAGATGAAGCTTTAGAATCCTTGCCTCCAAGGAGCAGCCTGGCTTCACCCTCTCCAGATGAATTTGTTTGTAATCCTAGCAGTCCATGGTATATTCAACACTCTTCTCCAACACCACAGCTCAAAGGCATCAACTCTCTTTCTATCAACCCTAGTCATTGTACAGTTCTCTGATGCATAGCAAGTAATTGCAAAGACCATGGCCTGTATCAGATGCACGTTAGTTTCCAGACTGACATTGTTTCTCCTCAGTACCTTGTAGAGATCTCTGACAACCTTTCCCAATGCAATTCATCCATCCTTTAATTTCATGGTTGCTGGTACTAAGAGTATTGATTGTAGAGCCAAGCAAACTGAAGCTGTCCACATAGACCAATAGACACAGGATTTGCATTTAAACTTAGATTTGAAACGAGCTGAACAGAAGATTCCAAAAGGCTGCTCAAAATGACAAAGCAAAATACTACAATGAAATGTGCGAGGAGCTAGAGTCAGAAAATCAAAAGGGCCGAACTCACTCAGCATTTCTTAAGCTCAAGGAACTGAAGAACAGATTCAAACCTACAGTTGCTGTAATCAAGGATACTTTGGGCAGAATATTAAATGATCCAGGAAGTATTAAAAGAAGATGGAAGGAATATACGGAGTCATTATATAGAAAGGAATTGGCAGATACAGAGGAATTTAAAGAAATAACATATGAGCAAGAGCCTATGGTGATGAAGGAAGAAGTTCAAGCTGCTTTGAAGGAAATAGCAAAAAATAAGGCCCCAGGAATAGATAGTATGCCAATTGAAGTATTTCAGATAACAGATGTTGCCCTGGATGTGCTCACCAAGTTGTGCCAAGAAATCTGGAGAACAACCACTTGGCCAACTGACTGGAAGAGATCTATATTTGTTCCCATTCCAAAGAAAGGTGACCCAACTGAGTGTGGAAACTACAGAACAGTGTCATTGATTTCACATGCAAGCAAGATTCTACTGAAGATCATCCAAAAACGATTAGAACAGCACATCAGCAGAGAACTGCCGGAAGTCCAGGCTGGGTTTAGAAGGGGTCATGGTACTAGGGATATTGTTGCTGATGTTAGATGGATCTTGGCTGAAAGCAGGGAATACCAGAAGAATGTCTATCTGTGTTTCATTGATTATTCAAAGGCATTTGACTGTGTGGATCATAAAAAACTGTGGCTGACTCTGAGAAGAATGGGAATCCCAGAACAGTTAATTGTGCTAATGCGAAACCTATACGTGGACCAAGAGGCAGTCGTCAGAACAGAGCAGGGTAACACTGCATGGTTCAAAATTGGGAAGGGTGTACGCCAGGGATGCATCCTGTCTCCATATCTTTTCAACATGTATGCAGAGCAGATTACCCGAGAAGCTGGGCTCTATGAGAAGAATTGTGGCATCAGGATTGGTGGAAGATCTATTAACAATCTCCGTTATGCAGATGACACAACCCTGCTTGCTGAAACTGAGGAGGACCTCATGCACTTGCTGCGAAGGGTCAAGGACTGCAGCCTTCAGTATGGACTAAGGCTCAATGTCAAGAAGACAAAGATTCTCGCCACTGGACCAATTGGCAGCGTCAGGATGGATGACGAAGAGATTGAGAGTGTTCACAGCTTCAGTTTGCTAGGCTCCACAGTCAACACTCTTGGCACCAGCAGTCAGGAAATCAAAAAGCATATCGTGATGGGAAAGTCTGCTGTTAGGGACCTCTCAAAGGTACTCAGGAGCAACAGTGTCTCTCTGGAGACTAAGGTGCGCCTGATACAGGCCATGGTCTTTGCAATCGCTTGTTATGCATCAGAGAGTTGGACAATGACTAGGGAGGACAGAAGGAGAGTGGATGCTTTTGAGCTGTGGTGCTGGAGAAGGGTACTGAATGTACCATGGACTGCCAGGAAAACAAACAGATTCATCTTGGAGAGGATTAAACCAAGCTACTCCTTGGAGGCAAGGATTCTGGGGCTTCGTCTGACATACTTGGGACAGGTCCTTGGAGAGGGACATCATGCTTGGGAGGGTGGAGGGACAGTGCAGGAGGGGAAGACCCTGTATGAGATGGATTGATTCAGTGACTGGGGTAATCGGGATGGGTGTGTCAGAGGCGGTGCGGTTGGCGCAGGATAGAGCAAGGTTTATGGCTGTTGTGCACAGGGTCGCTATGAGTCGGAAATGACTCGACAGCACATAGCAACAACACCCTAAAACAGATCATGAAATTGATTGTGCCAAAGAGGAGATTGATGGGTAACAGGGAAAGGACAGGTAAATGGTTATTTGAAAGTTAGACAGACTGTAGTATTGGTAGGACAAAGACAGAAGACGGTGAAGGCAACTTCTAAATAAAGGTAGACCAAGAATATCCCAAGCAACTCATCAAAAAGACTTTTTCCCCGTAACAACTTAATTATGTTTGTATTTTTAAATTATTGTTCTGATTAAAGTGCCAATACTATATTAGAAGTAGTTAGGTATTCATGAATCAACTCTGTTTTACCAGTCCTAGATTATACATTAGCAATGATCTGAGGGTAGAGGTGTTATTTAATTTGCTTTTGGTTATAGCATAGAGAATTTGCTGGACGTAGCAGAATATCACACTTGGAAAATCTCAT